TCATTAACAATCAAGCTCACAAGATAAATGATGGATAAACGGATGGACGGAAGATATTTCCAAGTCCCTTCTTCGCACCAGCAACAGGGACAAACAGGCTTGTCGCTGCAAAGTTTTGACCTAAACTGGATTATGCAGATCTTCTGTATTTGAACGTGACTGCTCAGTGTCTTTAGATGGTTGACATTGTTTAACGTGCTGCCATCTTACATTTGCACCCTGATCGCAGAGAGGAGTGTTGGTCATTCTCTTCTGTCACAAGATTATTTGTTGCTTCCACACTGAGTTGGGTAAAAAAGCTTTAGTTCACTCAGCACCTAACCATGGAATATGGTTGCACAGAAAACCGTTGGAGTCAGCCTCCCCCACCATCACAGACTTCCAGATGCAGGAAGAGGGCCACCTGCATCATGAAGGACCCCACTCACCCAGCACACAAACCTTTTACCCCACTACCCTCAGGCAGAAGGTTGCGGAGCATTAAGTGTAGAACCACTAGACTGAGGAACAGATTCTACCCTGAAGCTGTTAGACTCATAAATCCCTAACCAGGATAATCACTGTGGGGGGAAAAAATCACTGTAATGCCACTTTAATTGGTGATATGTGACTTATATGTGCTGCTGATTATCCATGCTGCTGATCTCATGCTGCTGATTACCCCATGCTGCTGTATTCATTCATACCTACAGGATCTGCTCACCACAGACTCATGTTCGGGCTGCTGTTATTCTGTATTGTTTTGCATTCTTAGTGTTTAGTGAACATTTTAGATCTTTTAGCATACAGTTTGGCGTTCATTTAGCGTATATCTTAGTATACATCTTAGATCCTTATATACTGTTTCTTTTTACACTATATTTTTGCTATTGTTGGATGTAATTGGGACCCTGTGTACATAATTTTGTTCCACCTCATGTACCACATGTGGTGAAATGACAATAAACCTACTTGAACTTGATATGTTCCTTATTGAAATACACACTTTTATTCCCTGCTCCACACAGACAGGCGATTACATGATCCCCCACCATTCATGATGTGTAGTGATAATCATCCACAAAGCTTCACACTTTATCTAAAGTACATTTAAATTTCAAAAAGTTTACATTTGTCGTGCAGGAATGTATAGGTCAGTATTTCCATGCTTATGCTAATGTTAGCTTTTAGCTGCTGATTTGTAGGTTTTTGCCTTTACCTTCTTTTGGCTTATTTTTGTTGGTTTTTTTTTTTATTTAATTTTGCTTAATTTTACTTTCAGCTACAGTTTTCAAATATTAGTCTTCACAAACTGTTTTGATAATTTCAGCTTTTAGACACTATTTTACACATTTCAACTTTCAGTTTGTTAATTTTAAATTTTAGCTATGGTTTTGCTGATTTTGATTGTTATCCAGGATTTTGTTATTTTTGGCTTTTGGGCTATGGTTTTCCTAATTAAAGCTTTTAGCAATAACTAACTAAAACTGAAAGCTTTAATTAGCACAAAGTTTTGAAAAGCTTTAATTCAGCAAATTATATTGTTTAGCTACAGTTTTGCTGATTATATGGTTTGTTTTAACTTTAGCAACTAGTAAGTTAATGCTTTTGGCCTAATTGGTGTATTTTCTTTTCTTATGCTACCTTTAGCTTTTAGCTACTATTTTGGTAATTTCAGATTTAGAAACTGGTTTACACATTTTAGCTTTCAGTTTGTTAATTCTAGTTTTTAGCTATGGTTTTGCTGATTTTAGTTTTTAGATATGGCTTTGCTGATTCTTGCTCTTAGCTACAGTTTGCCTAATTAAAGGTTTTAGCTACAAATTTACTAATTATATTATTTAGCTGATTATATATTTTGTTTGAAATTTAGCAATTAAGTTAATGCTTCAGCCAAGTTTAAGTTTTCAAATGTTACTCTTAACTACTCTATTGCTACCTTTAGCTTTTAGCTACTGTTTTGCCACCTTTGGCTTTTAGCTAATACATTTTGATTTTAGCTTTGGAGCTAGAGTTTAGGTACATTCAGCTTTTAGCTACTTTTGCAAATGTTGTTTTTAGCTATTGTTTTGTTAAATCTAGCAGTAGCATTGCAAGTTTTAGTTTTTAGTTTCCATCTTTGATTTAAGCTTTTAGCTACAGTTTTACTGATTTTAGCTGTTCTATTTGTTTTAACTTAAACAATCTGGTTAACAATGCTTTGCCATATTTGGCTGGTGGTTTGCATTCAGCAACTGTTTTGTTAATTTTAGTTTTAATCAAGGTTTTACTGATTTTATCTCCTGTTCTTCTAGTTTTCCGCCTAACAATCTGGTCAGCAGCTCATTGTTCAGTAGATTTCAGCAGCTCTTCGGCTCTCGTGGTACATTTTTCACAGAAAAGAACATTTCTCTCGTCTTTATCCTGAAATGAATCCATGGAGTCTAAATAAAAGCAGCGGCTGACTGAAGAAACTGGCAGGCTCTACTGTGAATCCACTCCTCAGGGAACCTCTTCCTTTGCTTCCACCACAAACGAACTGACATGTGAGGAAAGAGAAACGAGCCTCGTGCACCAACGAGTACGCTAGCTGTGTGTGTGTGTGTTGTGGGGTGGGGGGTGCGTCCTGACAACTGGAGGCCTCTCAGGACCTTTAACTGGTTCTGCTCTCAGCTTCAGAGAAAAGTGGAGCAGCAGCTCAAGGTGCTCCTGCAAATTACTTTTCACTGTATCTGGAAGGGAACTGAAAAAAAAAAAAAACCCCACAATCAATTCATTTAATTTTCCATTCAGATGGAATTAACGGCTCCATTAATTAAAGAGCTGGGTCACAGCTGCCGCATTCTTCCTCTCATTAGCCGAATTCATCAAGGGTAAAACAGAAGCTTGAATAACTCGATGATGTTGTATCTTTTGTTTATTGTTCGGAGACGGAGGTGTAGAAACTGACACGCTGGCTTTCATGAGTTATCCTGATTTCCTCAAGTTTCTACTGGTTTAGCTGCAAACAACGAGGAAACGACAAGACTCCGACTTCTTCTTCTTCTTTTGGCTTTTTTCTCTTCAGGGGTCACCAAAGCGTGTCATTCTCCTCCATCTCACTCTGTCCTCTGCATCCTGTCCTCACTCCATCTACCTCCATGTCCTCTCTAACTGCATCCATAGATCTCCTCTTTGTCTTTTTCCTGGCAGCTGCATTCATAACATCCTTCTACCAATATACCCACTGTCCCCCTTCTGGACATGTCCAAACCATCTCAGTCTGGTTTCTCTAACTTTAACTCCAAGTTGTTCAAACTGGGCTGTACCTCTGATGATCTCATTCCAAATTTTATCCATCCTTGTCACTCCTAAGGAGAACCTCAACATCTGCATTTCTGCCACTTCCAGTTCTTTCTCCTGTCTTTTTGTCCATGGCTCTGTCTCAAGACTCCGACTAATTCATGGTAATTATTGAAATTTTTACATTGCAAGAAGGTTTCATCATGTAATCAAATACCTGTGTGTCTGTTAGCAAAATCTCTTATGAAACATTAAACAGATTTAATGACACTTCCAGATAGTAATCACTGGATGTTCAACTACAGCTGAAAATCTTGTGGACCCAACCAGATTCAAGATGGCCACCGCAGCTAAGCAATCAAAATACAGCATGAACCATGAGCGCTGAATGACAGCTAAAATCTGCTGAAAAAACTAAAACTGAGTGGTTAGAACTAAAAGAATCAGAACATGAGCTAAATGCAACAAAAAGCAGAGCCACAGCTAAAAGCTAAATGGAGTGAAATGCCAACTAAAAAAAAACAAAAGTATGAAAGTACCACCTAAACAAAGCAAAATGCTAGCTTAAAAAGGTCAATTTGGCAAAATGCTACCTACAACCTAAAAGATAAAATCAACAAAAAGTTAGTTAAAAGCTAAAACAACAATAGGTTAGCTTCAAGTAGCAACAAATGAGCTAAAAGCAGCAAAAGGCTTGTTAAAAGCATCGCAGTAGCTAAATCTACAAGTGTGCTTGTTAGCAAAATATCTTATGAAGCAAATTTTATGAAACTTTCAGAAAGCAATGCTCATCTACAGCTGATAACCTTTTGAAGTCATACCAAATCAAGATGGCCGCCACAGCTAAGCAATCAAAATGCTGTTTGAATTCTGAGCACCGACAGCTAAAATCTGCTGAAGAAACTAAAACTGAGTGGTTTGAACTATTAGAATAAAAACAAAAGCTAAAAGCAAAAAAACTAAACCCTAGCTAAAAACTAAAAGGAGCTAAACATTAGCTAAATGTCAAAATTATGGAAATACTATTTAAACATATCAAAACTCTAGCTAAAAGCTAAATTTGGCTAAAGGTTACATATACCCTAAAAGATAAAATTAACAAACAGCTAAAAGCCAAATAAAAGCAATATGTTAAATACAAATAGCAACAAGCTAGTTAAAAGCGTAAAGTAGCAAAAAAGTGGCTGTTAGCAAAATATTTTATAAAATAGTGGACAGACTAAAGGAAACTTCCAGAAAGTAATCTTAGGATGTTTACCACTTGAAGTCAACCTGATTCAAGATGGCTGCCACGGCTAAGCAATCCTAGCAAACACAGATGGTCATAACTCAGTAATTTTCACGAACACTGAGCTACAATTCGGCATGGTAGTAGTTGAGAGTCATCCCAAACATTTACTTGGAGCGCTAACAGATTACTGAGATATCTACTGAGAACAGGGCGGGTGACATGCATTCCCTCTGTGAGATATTTTCACAGTTTCTGTCAGTGCTCAGAGTATGTGTTGAGGATGACTCTCAGCTACTACCACACCAGATTTTAGCTCAATCTCTGTGAAATCGACTGAGCTGTGTAGCAGCCATCTTGAGTCAATCAGTTGCACATCTGATTTATGTAAGCTTCCTTAACTGGTTCATGAGATATTTTGCTAACAGGTAAACAAACAAAGCAGTTACACGATCACCTTTCATGAGATACACTAAGCTCTTGTCAAAGTCAGATTATTACTGGATGAGTGGAGCATTAATGGATTATTTACCGGCCACTGAGTTTGGGCGGGGCATCACGAGGGAGGATGTGGTGTGACCGTGGTGCTGGGGGAGGGGTCTTTTCGGCGCCGGCGGAGTCCGGAGCTCTATGATCTCAGTTCTGGGCATGGCCTCGGCTTGTTGGGCCGACAGACATTCTCTGGTGTGCCCAAGATGGCGGTCCTCGGCTGTGAGGCCCATGATGCTGGAGCTGCCACTCGGGTCTTCGTCCTTGATCAGAACCTCGCCGGATGTGCTGCGTTCCTCATTCTCAGAAGAACTGGTGTTGGTCGCTGAGCAGAGCAAAACAAACATTGTCCAAGTAGCCGAGAAAAATGAAAATGTTCTAAACTTTAGAGAAACTAAATATATAAATTTTCTGATAAAATGCAGTGTGTGGATGAGTGCCGAAATCTGCAGAAGAAACTGAGTTGTTGGAACTAAAAGGATCAATACAGTAGCTAAAAGCAACATAAAAACGGAACTCTATAGCTTAAAGCTAAAAAGAGCAAAACACTGGCTAAATTGTCTATGAAAAGACTACGAATATGCTAAAAGCTAGTCAGAAAAAAGTTATATGAAAGCTGAAAAAGACAATAGCTCAGCTTAAAGTAGCAACATGCTAGCTAAAAGTGCAAAGTAGCAAATCTGGTAGCTAAGCTAAAAGGGGCAAAATGCTTAATATAAGTAGCATAATGATAGCTAAAAGCAGCAGAATAGAAGCTAAAAGTATCTAAAGGATAATTAAAAGCCACTAAAAGTTAGTTAAAGGTAATAAAGCAACAAACTAGTCTAAAGTTGTAACAGATTAGCTAAAATCAGCAACAGGCTAGTTAAAAGTGTAAAGTAGCAAAACAGTAGCTAAACTCATTGAAAATGAGTTCTCGTGGCTCAATGAGACTACCTGGATAAATAAAGGATAAATGGAAAAAAAATAAAGCTAAAAGGGACAAAAGGTTAGCTGAAAGGTATCAAAATGCTGGATAAAAGTTGCATAATTAAAGCTAAAATGCAACAGAATGGTAGTTAAAAACAGCTGAAGAGCAACTAAAAGTATCAAAAGGTAAGCTAAAAAGAATGAAAACAATAGCTAAAAGCAAGCAAAATAGTTTTTTTTTCATTCCAAAGGGAAAATCAACATTTAAAAACCAAAAGTACCAAAAAAATAGCTAAAAGCTAAAAAAGGAAGTCTACCAGTAGTTTAAAGTCACACTGGGCTAGTTAAAAGCGTAAAGTAGCTAAATAATAGCTACAGCTAAAAAGGCAAAAGCTTTGCTAAAAGTAACAGAATGGTAGCTAAAAGTAGCAAAATAGTAGCCAAATCTATCTAAAGGCACCAAAAGGCTAGCTAAAAGCAAGACATAATGATAGATTATTGATCCCAAAGGGAAATTCTGACATTTAAAAGTAAAAAGCAGCTAAAGGTTAGCCAAAGCATTTACATAAAAACAAACTCACTTGATCAATAATAAGATAAACGTTTGGATCAATGATAGTTTTCTGCACCTGGTGTGCCTTTTGTAATCAACTATAAATACAAACTCTATTTGAAGAGTAAAAATGTCCTATTTTAAGAGAATTGAGCCCAACTGCAACAAAGACAGCAGTGTCCCAGATTTGACAGAAGGCAGCCGAAGCCTTAAGGCTGAAGTCACACAAACCAGAAACTGAGTGGCTCCGGGCTTGGAATGAAATCTGACTAAAACTTGCTTGTCTCACTTCATAAAACATGTCAGGAAACGTTCAGAGGAGAACTGTTTGGGTTCAGAAAAGGTAAAAAGCTGCACTGTCATCTGGAAACATGGGGTTTAAACCTGCATGCCTCACCTATGATTCCACTATCTTTGCTCTCCAACGTGGAGGTGGGGCTTTGAGACGGAGGCCCAGGGCTGCTCGTGGGCTTGAGTCCAGAAGTAGGACACGGGGCAGGGCTGTGTGCTGGACTGCGGGCAGGGCTTCGGGCCGGGCTGGAGAGGGTTCCGCTGGGACTGGAGCCGGAGCCGCAGCGGGGGGAGGATAAGGGTAAGGACTGGCCTCCAGCACCGGTACTCAGGGTGGAAGTGGGGCTCTCCGAGCACGGAGAGGCGGTGCTGCGGGTCAGAGTGGAGCTGGGACTCCCCCCATGGGTGGAGGTGTCACACTGAAACATCAGGAAGAAGAAAAAGAAGTTATATGAACAACAGGATCCAAGAACGAGGGTGAAACCATCGTTTTAGAACAAAATATGAAAATCACATGGCGTCGGATGTTTGGGGGTACAGTTGTGCTATTTTAGCCATTCGTATATCAAGATGAGGGGGAACGGTGGAGTAGTGGTTAGAGCTGTCGCCTCTCAGCAAGAAGGTCGCAGGTTCACCTCCTGGCTCGTCTGTGTGGAGTTTATATGTTCTCCCTGTGGATTTTCTCCAGTTTGCTCCTACAGACCATAAATATGCACATTAGTTTCGTTGGCAACTCTAAATTGTGTTTGGGTGAGGGAGTAAATAGTTGTTCGTCTCCATGTGTCTCTGGGATGGACAGGAGACCTGTCCAGGTGTCTCACACAGTGACTGCTGGAGATGGACACCAGCTCCCCATGACTCATAAAGGAGAAACAGTTGAAGAAGATGGAAGCATCAAAAGGTTCGGCTCATTCAGCTGATGGGTGCTGTGACTTTTAAATATTAACAGGAAGACCTCTTCAGTTCCTTCAAACCTTTTCTTTTTAAAATCAGTTTCGGCAGAAAGATTTGTCTCCTTTTGAGAGTTTTGCTTTTTTAGCTACCATTCTGTTACTTTCAGCTTTTTATATTTTATCATTCAGCTACCTTTAGCTTCTAGTTAACTCTTTGCTACTTTGCCGTTTTTATTTTTAAGTTAGCCTTTAGCTACTTTTGGTTTTAACTTGCCGCTTGTTACTTTCATCTAACTTTAACTACTTTGAGCTTTTAGCCACAATTTTATTAAGGCAAGCTTTTACCTACTATTGTGCTACTTTAACTAACCCAGTACTTGACCAAGCTTTTTGCTACATTTATCTTCCAGCTAGGTTTTTCATACTTTTAGCTATTTGGCTACTTTTAGTAATGAACACATTTTTTGGCTGTTTTAACTAGGCTCTTGGTAATTTTTCTTAATCTTTTGCTGCTTTTAGTAAGTAATTTGGTCATTTTGGCTAGCCTGTTCTAGGTTTTCAATAGTGTTTTGCTACTTTAAGCTTTTTACTAGTTTTTTTTACAATTTTCAGCTAAGCTCCTGCTACGTTTTAGTAACATTTTGCTGCTCTTAGCTAGCATTTTCCTTATTTTAGCTAGCCTTTTACAACATTTAGCTTGTAGCTATTGTTTTGCTACTTAGCTAGCCTTTTATAACTTTTAGGTTAAGGTTTTTAGGTTTTTACTTGTAGCGAGGCTCTTAATACTTTACTACTCTAATTTAGCTAGCATTTTCTTTATTTTAACTAGCTTTTTACTATATTTAGAATGTACCTTTTCACTAGTCTTTTGCTACATTTAGCTTGTAGCTTTTCATTAGCTTTTTGCTACCTTTAGCTTGTATCTTAACTAGCCTTTGACTATTTTTAGCTAGGCTGCTACTTGTGATAATCTTATGCTGCTTTTAGTTAGCATTTTGCTGTATTTAACTAGCTTTTTTAAATGTTTAGCTTCTAGTTATTGTTTTGCTACTTTTGATATTTTACTATAGGCTTTTGCTATATTACGATCACTTCTTGCTGGTTTTAGCTAACCTTTCACTACTTTTAGTTTTAAGCTGTGTTTTTTTTGTTAGCTCATAACTAGTGATTAGCTTTTTTTCAGCTTTTAGCTAGTCTGCTGTTTCTAGCCTATTTCCGCAGTCATTCAGCTGTCTGGGTTCAAGCCAATCTTTGTAGAAGAACTTTTAACCTAAAAATACTGAGCGAAAATAAAAAATAACAAATGTAGAATCCAGATTTGAACGCCTGAGATAAAATCCAGTTTTTATATTTGAAATCTGCAAAGTGAAAACGTCTCGTTTTCTTTTGAACGTTTTTATTTCTCTTTACTGACGCAATACAGGAGACAGCTGGGAGGTGAAACTGTGGATTTAAACCTGATCCCCGTTATTCCCTTCACACCCAGCGCCTCAGCTTCCTTATTTATCTTCCCCTCGTACGAGATGGGCTCCTGACCCGGTGATTTGTCAGACCGAGGGCTTCAAACCAAGACCACCGCGTTAAAAACGACCTGTGGAGCGACATGAGGAAGAAACGTTTCCCGAGACGTTTTGCACGGAGCTGCAGCTGCTGCCAGAAACACCAACAACCAGCAGGAAGTCGGTGCAGCGTTTGTGATTGAGCTGACAAAACAAAGGTAGCAAAACAGCAGCTAAAACATTAAAGTAGCAAGCTAGTTACTGAAAAGTCAGATCAGGAAAACACTGTAGATAAAAACTACATTTGCAAAGCTGTATCTAAAGCTAAAAATCACACAACCATAGCTACAAGCTAAAATTAGCAGAACAGCAGCTAAAAGCTAAAAGTTGCAGAACAACTAAAACCCTAAAATAGCAAAACAGTAGGTAAAAGCTAAAATAAGGAGGGAAAACAGTAGTTGAGTAGTAAAATGTGCAAATAGTTAAAGTTAGAAGAACATAAATTAAAGTTTGCAGAACAGTGACTATGACCTTAAGAGCTAAAAGTAGCAAAACAGTAGCTAAATGATAAAAGTAGCTACAAAAAAGCCAAATGCTAAAATTATATTTTTTACAAACTATAACTAAAAACTACATTTTGCTAAATGGTATCTAAAGCTAAAATGAACAAACCCATAGCTAAAAGTTAAAATGATCAAAACGGCAGCTAAAAGTAGCCAAAGAAATCAGACAGAGCCAAAAGCTGAAGCAGATTTCAAGAGAACATTTCTGAAGAATGTTTGAAAGAATTACAGAAATCTCAACATGTTTCTATTGTGAATTTCATTGTGAATAAAGTTAAATATCTTAAAAGGTATAAAAGATACAAAAAAATAAAAGTCCCAAATGAGCTGAATGTTTTGATATATGAATGGCTAAAATAACAACAACAACAAAAAGTAGATTGCAAAATAAATAAACAAATGAATAACAGCACTGTAAACGTTGATTTTCTGTCTAATGACAGCAGGGGGTGTATCTGTATTCTGAATACCTTCCTTTCCCTGCGGTTCTCCATAGGAGAGCTAGCAGTGCTGGACGTTGTGTCTCCCAGTAAGAAACATAGTCTGGTCATCAGTTCCTGGGAAGAGAGGGAGGAGCTGAGGTGGGGCTCCACGTGGAGGTCTGAAAGGAAATGAACTGAATGAAAACCTGCGTTAGGCTGCTGCTCCATTTCAGCTCGTGAGGTTCTCAGGGGGGCCCCCAGCAACACAAGGACCTCCAGTCCCTGGCCGAAGCGGCAGCCAGGCCTTGAGAGCCTGCCGGGGGCTCTCAGTTAGGAGTCGAGAGGTGAACTTCAATGACTGATGACACGAGTGGGGACAATCCACGTGCTGCGTTCATTCACCACTCCCTGATGTTCTGACCCCCTGATCCTGATCCTCTGAGGGCCGTAGGACACGTCTCAGCCCCCAGCGTGGCCCCACGCTCCTCACACCGTGTATTTGAACTGTTCTCAGCTGAGAAACATGCAAACTGAGTGGGCAACCGATGATGATGATGACGGGACATCACGGATTGCAGGAACAGCTCACTCCTCCTCACAAACATTCATCTCTCACTCCTGACACCCCCCCCCCCCCCACACACACACACACACACAATCAAAGATCTGGTCTCACAGCCCTCTAACCCAGGAGCAGGAGTCTGCAACCGTTACGGCTGTAGAAGACACGTTGACCATCAAACCAACGACCGTGTGTAAAAACATTGTAACTTTTATTATTTTTTAAAAACGTATCATCTCATTGTTTCCTTTAGAATCCTTGTTGTCTTTGAAATCTGCTGCAGCTACTGGATGTAACCCTTTGCTACTTTAGCTTTTAGCTATCATTCTGCTACTTTGTATTTAGCTATCCTTTTGCTCACTGTAGTAAAAGCACTTTGGTAACAGTTTCAGTTTTAAACGTGCTATATAAATAAATCTGATGACTTGATTGTAGCTTCTAGCTAAAGCTTTGCCACTACTGGGCAACCTTTTTATTTGTTTACCTCCTAGCATGCCTTTTAATAGTTTAATTATTTGTTATTTTGAAATTTTAGCTTTTAGTTAGCTTTTTGTGACTTTTAGCTAGGCTTTTGCCATTTTAGCTTTTAGGCACCTTCCTGCTACTTTTTATTTAGATGAGGCAAGCCATTTACTATGTTAGATTTTGGCTACTGTTCTACTACTTTTAGCTTTAAGCTAGTCTTCTTTTAGGAAACCATTTTCTTCTGTTAGCTTCTGGCTAGTTTTTTGATCCTTATATGTTTTAGCTAGCATTTTGCTACTTTAGCTTTAAGCTTAAAGCTAGCCTTTTGATATTAATTGGCTTGTAGATGGTTTTTGCTACCTTAACTGTCAGCTAACCTTTTGCTACATTTAGCTAGTTTTTTACTTAGCTTTTGGCTACCCCATAACTTTTTAAGCAAGCCATTTGCTACTTCCAGCAAGCCTTTTGTTACTTTTTTAATTTTTGGCTAGCATTTTGCTAGATTTACCTTTTGCCTACTATTTAGCTATTTTTATCTTTAAGCTACCTATTTTGTTAGTGTAGCTTTTGGCAACACATTTGCTACTTTTAGATCGTCTTTTGTTACTGCTAGGTTTTAACTGGCATTTTGCCACTTTCAGCTAACACCCCCCCCCCCCCCCCCCCCAACAGCTTCGTTTTAGCTTTCTCAGATAAATCATTCTGCGCTTCCTCATGTGTTTTCATATAAATGTAACTTGTCTGGCTAAATTTGAGCTGAAAAGAAATTTTAGCTCCCGTAAAAGAACAAATACTCGAGATGAGCCTGACGTGGCAGTTCTGCTGCATAAAGTGCAAAAAAAAGAACATAAAAACTGTTTAAAAAAAATCCAACTCTGTCTTCAGTTCAAGTTGAAACGTCACCCCGGTCCTTTGTCACTTCTGGTCAAAGTTACAACGAGCCCCATGAGAGGGTCTGAAGGGCCACATGTGGCTCCAGCACCGCAGGTTGCAGACCCCTGGACTAAAATCCAACAGTCAGGAAAAACAAGAACCATTTGGAGAGGCAAACCCGATCCTCTCCGACTGCATCGGTCGGTTTGAAAGTCGGCTGAAACCCTTCGGGGGGGGGGGGGGGGGGGGGGGG